GTGCCCCCGTACCTGATGGCAGTGCCTCCCCGGGCGGCTCCCCCCGGGACACTGATAAAACCTGGGACAAATGACAGAAGCTCAGCACTCACCCACCACCCCCGTAAAGACCAGAGTATGTCCCAAGATTTTTCCAGGATTCCAGAGCATGTTCCAAGATTTTTCTAGTGACAGTTTTTGCAGTTTGCCCACTAGATCCACAGAGAAACAAACCCACAATATCCAGTTGGAAACCTGTTATTTAAGTTCACTCTCTGGCATGTCTGGAGTTCAGCAGAAATAAAACTCAAGTCTCACTCCACACCATGAGCCTGTGATCAAAACCCAACAGCACTGTTTGTGTCTCAGCAGAAACAAAAATACTGTACAAAAATTGTAACAATAGCCAAGTGGAGGGTAAAAGTATAATTTTCCTCTAGCTCGCCCCACATTTCCCTATAATTTGGATGCCTAGAGAAGCACACGTTACTGTAAGTATTTGTCTTCTGACTATATTTAGTCTCCTCGTCTGTGTTAAAACACCTTTTCCAAAATGGAATCTGAAAAGCAGTTCCTGCAGCCAGGCTTTGTACCAGGGAGGGAAGAAAGGACTGGCCAGTGCCCTGTAACACTGTACCAATTTACCCAAGGGGAGAGGTAAGATCCCAAATGCTTTCCTAGATGTAGGCAGGCCACATGGAATAAAGCCAAAGGAAACCAACATTCAAGGTCTGCTGCTAGAAATACTAATCATTTTTAGAAAACCCTTCTGAACATGAGTAGAAAAAGTCGAAGGAACCACTTAATATCAGTATTAAACTTTAATGTCACATTTTCGAATCTACAAATAAGCTGAATGAGAAAAATCTACAAAAATATACAGAGCTTTATAGAGTGCATCTTTCAACATGGTGAACATTTTTCACAGAGTAAGAAACTTGTAGAGACTTGCAGAGTCTGATTTTTTAAGCAGTTCCCATATACTGCCCTCTACATTTATACAAAACCTAACACCTTACATACCTGCAAGTGCATTCACAGCATACTTGGTATATTTCACACAGATTTTGGATGATCCTAAGTCCGTTCTGCTGCTTACAGTCAGAAATCAACAGAAGTAAGCAGTGAGCACTGATTCATACCTTCCCACCAATATGACAGTGACACCACTTGTGAGTGGTATTGTTCCAAAGCTGACCCAGTTTCACATATAAGGAGCCCAGCCCATGTACATCTGGCAGAGCAGGTTGTCATCGCTGGCTTCTTGAATCAGGTAATGAACATGCCCTTCAATAGATAAGGGTAATCCTTTTATTCTGTTTCTAGTTTTAATGACACCTTGCAGCCGTTGTTCGATATCAAGGACATGGGTTTTGGCCTGGAAACAAGGAAAAAAATAAATATTGCTGCTATCCATGAACTTCTACTTCTTAAAACAAAGAAGTATTTTTTAGGATGTGTTTGAAATCTGCATTCTTGAACATGCCCTTCAATAGATAAGGGTAATCCTTTTATTCTGTTTCTAGTTTTAATGACACCTTGCAGCCGTTGTTCGATATCAAGGACATGGGTTTTGGCCTGGAAACAAGGAAAAAAATAAATATTGCTGCTATCCATGAACTTCTACTTCTTAAAACAAAGAAGTATTTTTTAGGATGTGTTTGAAATCTGCATTCTTATACTAGACTCACTTCTTAGAACAAAAAAGTACTTTCTAGGATGTGTTTGAAATCTGCATTCTTATTTAATACTAGACCCAGAAGTCTGTACCAGCTACACTACAATGAAGGATATTGGCTTCTACAAAGAAGTCTTTAAAGTGGATATATTATTGGGCAAGTTGTAACTTCTATCTTACATTTTTACAGATAAAAGTTACCAGAGAAGACTGAAACAGCTATGCAAATGTATTTGGGAAAGATGGAGAGCTTTATTTCATACAATTGCTTTCCAATAAATGCAGCATTTTCCTAGCCTTGTTCTTGGAATTCTGCATAAGATTAAAGAGACACCTAATCTGGAAAATTTAGGTCAAAAATACAAGGAACTGAAAATGAAGAAGCCTAAGAAGAGGTTGTGCTGAGCACCTCAAAATGAGCTCTTTGAGGTCCACTAGAGTAGCTGGTTCATACCAGTTCCACTTACTCATTTTCTTTTAAAGCTCAAGCATAACATTGGCACCTCTCCAGAACCTGCACTTAACATGTACAACTATGTGGGTGGTCTTGACTCAGCCTGGTTAGTAACTGTTTGAAGACCAGGAGATTTTCTGTGCTGAAATAGCTGGTGTAAGTTCTTTGTTGTTCTTTGTCCTTATCTTAGTTGCTGTGTTTGTCAGTGCTCCCTAATTATTATCTGCTATTACACATTTGTTTTCATTAAATAGTCCTTTTATAGAGAAAGGAGCCAATCAGAAATTTTGCAAAGAGGAAATGTAATCAATACTACAGGCAGTACAAAAGTTATATTTTGGATGAAAAATAGTCTTCAGCAGCAGCTGATAAAGGAACAGTACATACAGAATCCTAATTTTACTCAAGTAACCCTTGACATGTAAAGAGGCACATATTTATTCAATAAGAAACATCCACTCAGGAAAAGCACAACAATGGACACAGAAAGGACTCTTGATGTTACCACCCCTGTAAATCTGGAGAATTGTGCAACTGTCACAACGAGGGGTAGTAAGATCCATTGCTTCTGCTGATGTTGTCCCTGATTTAGTAACATGAGTAAGAATTCCAGGCTCTTTTGTTTGGTTCTTTAGTAGATAAATTACACTTTCTATCAGTAAAAAAGTCTCTTTATGGATAAAAAAGTTATGAACACAGAGCTCATAAAGATCAACAAACCAGAGAAATTTTGAAATGAAAGAAAAAGACAGTTAAGGTTTCAATTAGCAAATACATAACTTGTAACCATAATGGATTTCTGACATCTGAATTACCTTATGTTATGCTTCTTTTAAACTAACCTTTTCATTGACGACTTCTCCAGTTTCATTCACCTGGGCTTTTGTATTCCCTTTTACAGGTTTACTCCATTCCACAAGAGGATCATGGAGAAAAGTCTTTAAGACACTAAATAAATTAAACATTAAGAAAAAAAAAAGAGGGTAATATACGTATAATACATTTAATTTTCAAAACACAAACACTGAGAGGACTCTAAAGTTAGTGCTGAGGATTTCTATGGCTTCATCTCTAACTGCATGTCCCACTGAGCTGGAGCTGCACGTGCTGGCCCTGGCATGTTCCCCCTGCAGCTCACATGTTTAGCCCAGGGACAGTTTTTGGGAGCTCACAGCAAACCCAGCTGCCATACCTCATTAGGGGCTCCCTCTGAGCACGCATCAGCCTCATGGTGACTTCACAAGCTCTTCGGAAGAGACCCTCTGTTCCCATGGGACCCATTCCATTAATCATGTTGTGAGTGAGACGAAAAGGAACGATTTCTGGAACTTCAAAAGTCTCTCCCTTTACATTGATTAAAAAAAAAATAAAAAAGGAGTAACATTTATATTGGGTTTAGGGTTTCTTTCTCATCTTTGTCAGTGGTGGATTCCTAGCTGACAGGGAGATTTGCTCCTACTCAGCTGCTAAGGGGAAATCACAGTGAATAACAGATACCAATGTCCAAAGAACCTCTTTTCCCCTGTTCTAACACATTCACACAGGGTACAAAATTTGGTTCTAAATATATACTGCTGCTCTGTAGTCTCATGCAAAATGCCAACTTTTCCCTTTATAATATGCAAGCTAGCTTAAAAACTTTTTTTTTAAAATTAAGGGTTATATAGGACAATTCAGGCTTACTAAAAAGAAAGCAGGAGAAATAACCTAACAATATCTCTACCTCAATTAAAAAGGCCCCATGTCCCACACCAAAAGCATCTTTCAACTGAAACACCAAAACTTGAAATCCCACTCTGGCCACAATTTCTGCTGTTTGTTTTTACAAAACCATTGGAATTGTTGTGCTGAATTTGTGTGAGAAAGAAGAACTCTCCACAGCAGCAGAATTCTGAAGGTAGCAATTACAGGTTTGTCTGGAGAGTGGCAGTGGAGACAGGAGAGTCACAAAATATAAGCAACCTGAAATTTGGGCTATTTCAGTGTATCCACATCAGCTCATCTGATGTTGGCTAAATCAAAGAGTTGGCTTTCATTAAATGCAGCATACACATGCTCTTTACATATCCCAGACTGTTTGTGGTGTAGAAACAAGAGGTAAAGTTAGAGAAAGAATAAAATGGGTATGTTAAAGTAAAAAACATGGAGAAAAAGCCAAGATAGTAGAAGTTTATAACTTACATGCATACAAAATGAAAGAGCAAGTTCAGGGAGTGGCATTTCTCACCTTATTGAAAAGGCAGTTGAAATCCACATGCACACATTCACCAGTGAGAGAGTCAAACAGGATGTTTTCCCCATGACGGTCTCCTAGACCAAGTATGTAACCCACCATGGACATAACTGCCACGGAACGACAGTAGGCTGACCTGCTGTTGTACCTGTGGAAACAGCAACCAGCAATGCCTAAGCCACTTCCTTGGGTTATCTGTCTGTTCAGTAATATCATCAGTTTTCAGGGCAATGCTCAAAGTCTTGAGCTAGCCCAAATCCAGTCACTAACCATGAAGTAGGATCTGGAAATGTTCTAAGAAACCATTCATGAAAGACAGGAGGATGACGAGGCAGAAGGACTTCTTTGAACATTTTCAGCTTTTCAGACAGAGGTGCTGCCTTTGGGAGCATATGCTGGCGCAACTCTAAAAAAAAATACCTGGACTTCCTCAGTTAGGCAAAAGAAATCATCAGATATAAAGTCTTGTATGTACTACTACAATATGGTAATTTTGAGAAAATAAATAACTCCATAAAGTGGAAATAAATGAACAAATGAAAAATAACCCACAGAAAGTGTTGGTTGCGGGGCACTAGAAAGGATAAAAAATCCTTATGTTAACTGAAAGAGAAGACCTGGCAGACTTCCTCAGTTAGGCAAAAGAAATCATCAGATATAAAGTCTTGTATGTACTACTACAATATGGTAATTTTGAGAAAATAAATAACTCCATAAAGTGGAAATAAATGAACAAATGAAAAATAACCCACAGAAAGTGTTGGTTGCGGGGCACTAGAAAGGATAAAAAATCCTTATGTTAACTGAAAGAGAAGACCTGGCAAACAAGTCACTGTGGGGTAGAGTGAGGGAACACAAAAACACAAACCCCTCCCATCCTCACAAAGCCATTCATTGTATTCATTCATGTTTGGAGTGCCAGCCTCCCAGAATATCTCCATACACACAGATAAGGTGAGAAATTTTCCCCCTAAATATTATTGCACTGACCAGAAAAGCTACTCTGCTAACAAGAAATTCAAATTAAATCTGATCTTTTCTCTGGCAAGTTTCTGTACTCTCAACCCTGATTCGATGATATATTCTCATCATTATCTCAGACAAATGCAACAGAAATGAAAAACAACAGATCAAATCTAAAGGAAAATTCCACAGTCTTTTCTGTTGCTCAGTGCTGCACATACATCCCCACACTGCTGACATGGTTTACATACACTGCATGGAAGATGACTGTGCTACCAGTTCTTACAAGGAACTTGTTCAGTGCAAGCACCAATTCTCTTCCATTTAAGAATGAAAGTCTCCCACACCTGTGAGCAGCAATACACTGCAGATAGTTAAAACCACACACGAATGCATCTTCCCAGATTTGGTCTGATTCTTGCTATGTGGGTCATTTACTAGTTAAGACACAAGCCCTAAAAGTCTCCCACACCTGTGAGCAACAATACACTAAAGATAGTTAAAAGCACACACGAACGCATCTTCCCAGATTTGGTCTGGCTCTTGCTATGTGTGTCATTTACTAGTTAAGACACAAGCCCTTCAAAAAACACCTGAAAACTGTTACTGCAGGCTAATATATTTCTTTACCTTTCTCCTTATAGAGTTTTATCAGGATGTTTCTCAGCCCAGCAGTATTGTTCACCCACTCGATTATGCCACATTCATCATTCAGTGGAATCACTGCGTAGGTTCGAATGTGCAGCTCTCGCCTCCGCGACTCTGCGTCTTTCCTGAGGCACTGCTCGTGCAAGAGAAACCAGACACCACAGCTAGATCAAAATGGATCAAGAGCATTCACCAATTTATTTCTATTTCCCAATCCCATGATCAAGGATTTCAAATTCTCAGCTCCAGTGACTGTCTGCAGTGGGTCGAATGTGACCAAAATTCACACTTGTTCTCCAAAGTTAATTAAAAAAACCAGAGGAGTTTGCAATAAAATAGTAAAACTGCCTAACTTGCACATGGCTTGAATCCCTTCAAAGCAGCATTTGAAAGAGTCTCTCAGTGTTTCAGAGACACTACCATTTGCTAACATTAACTCCACAGAAAACATGGAGTGTTAACATTAAGCATATTGTTGAGAAGCAAAATGTAACTAAAATAAGAATTATGGCAACACTTTTAGTATGAAAAGATTAATTTACCTATTTTTTATAAAAAATATTAGAGAATCCTGAACAGGCAATATGAAGCAAGACAGCAGAAAGTCTGCAGGTATTTATAGACTGTAAATAACCTTTCCTGCCTATTTTTGCTAGAATAAGCAATTGTTTTGGCAAAATGTTATATTTTGCTATTGTTTTCATAAGTCTGCAAGAAGTTATGCATCATCAGTTGCTACCAATTACTGCTGAAATAAGATATTTTGCACCAGTTTACTTTTCTCCCAGTGAGCTTTATCTCAAGGTGAGTTGGCTTTTTAATTTGCTCTGTCCTGGTCAATACATATGATGCATCTGATTGTCTCACTCAAACCTTGTTAATGAGGGAATTGAATTCCATGAGCCGACAGTCTTTTCTTAGATCATCTTTTGGCTTGCACATCATAATGTAAGATTTCCCATCTGAACCTTTCAAGGTGATTTTTTTTGGCTTTTGAAGTGAGGCAAGAATTTCCACCTGTAGAAAAATGAAGTCTCTATTAACATCTATATCGGATTATACAAAATAAAATGTGTAATTGTAACAAACCACTGGAACCAGACATGTTAGCACTTCCACGGTGCTACAGACCAAAACTTTACCCAAGTGCCAATAGCCCACACCTGCCTCAGGCTGGTCATACATTTTCTGCAGAAGTAATTATGACATTTCCTACTCACTCCTCCATTTCTAGGGAACTAAGACATATTTGCAGCGACGTTGGTTTAAGCTGAAGTGAAATATCAGGTGCCAGCTAGAGCCTTACCGTGTCATCAAAGCCTGCAATGTAGGCCCAGCAGCCAGGGAAAGGGTCATGGTTAGCATGTGTTCCAGGAATGGAGGGCAGAGTTGGTATCATTACTGATTGTAAGGGAATGAGGATTTCACTAAAGGTGTGCTCTTCTACTAATCTTTTCAGTGTTCTGAAATGAATATTCATGCTTAGTGTTGAGCTGTTCCCATCAACCTTGAACAAAAACGTTGATGGAAGTTAGCAGTGACACTCAAAGTTCACAAACACTTCAAATAATACTGCTCTTTCACATTAACTAACAGATAGAATGATAACAGAATAATAATAGAATTATAAATGCTTATGGTAATAAGAAAAATGGTAAGTTACATTGCAAATGAAATAACCCAAAAGCAAATATTTCTGGCCATTATGGCAGACACACTTTTTGCTTTGAATGTAAATACAGAATAATGAAAAATTATTTAGATTTATCTTCATTATCAAGCTAATTTGTTCATAAAAGCAGAGACTGCCTATTTTTTACAGTAAAACCAAAAGTTACTGTGCATGAGTTATACTTTAAAGGACAAAGCCATGCACAGCCCACAACCTGTGAATGGTACCATCATGCACTGGGAGATTTTATAATGTGCTCAACTTTGAGCTATTTTAAACAAATTATTAAGTAAAACCAAATAATCTTTTACAAGTTAGTGTAGTTTCTAAGCTGCAATAACTGGCTATGAAAGCTATCAGAAGAAGTTTTTCCTTCCCATTTTGGAACAATCCTAGTCCATGCATTAGCTGGTTTATTTCTGTAAGTACCGGTTTGTTGCACAGCTCTAACAGCTTGTCTGTGAGACGTGTTGCATCTCCAATAAACTTCCCCAAAGATTCCTTCATGTGAATAGCTCTGTTCAGAATTTCCTTACATCTACTGACACGCATAGGGTAAGAGGACTGAAAAAAAGGAAAGTTAAAATGGATTAAACAACAGTCAAATGACCTGAAGAATCCTCCCCCCGTAATTAATATACTCTTTGCTTATTGCTTGTCATGTTTAATATCTGGAGAAGGATGAGCTCCAGTTGTAAACCTCAAGTGGTACCGTTGTGGGGGTGTGTGGGTATTAGTACTTTCTGAAACCATTCTTGGAAGTCCCACAACATGGAGGCTGATATTGAAGAATGTGCCAGTGAATCCTGAATGTTATTTCACCAGCCTTAAGACAACAGCATGCATCATGCCTTCCAGTTTGCTTCAGAATGACCTTACTGACAGGTAGGTAGGACCAAGTGGTGCATCTATCTTATCTTAATCAAGGAACAGAGTTGATTATTTGTCTATAAAACTGGAAGTACTATTAGAATTACTAAATCCAACAAAATCTGTTGCCCATAACTACACAATTCATCAGCTATTTGTTATTCAAATTTCCTTTCCAATATATCATGCAAGTTCAGATGCATGCATGACACAGATGCATTCTAATTTGGAACATTTAGACTGCAAGGAAATATTTTGCAGCGATGGCATCGATATCCTCTTCCAAAACACTGTACCACAACAACTGAAGCTCTCAATTCCTTCTCAGAGTAACACTGGTTACAGTCACAGTTCTCTCTGATGAAACCAGTTTTGTAAACTTAATAAAGGTGTAGGTAATACACATCAAGGTACCTTGGACACAGCAGTCATCATCCACATTGCTTGCTGTGGATAGGCTAAAAACACTTTAGCAACAATCACCATCAGAACTGCGAACACTTCATCGTGGGAATGGCAGATACGGGAGATGAGCTGAGAAAAAGCTGTCAGGAACTGGTAAGGTGCCAAGTGGTTTGTGTGCTCTGTAATCACCTTATTTATTTTAGCTAGATCATTTTTCATTTGAACACGTTCTGAACGACTAGCTGAAAAATAGAAGGACAAGATTACATTCCTGGTTTTCCCCACGGGAAGTGTAAAGTCATTTACAGCAAGGCCACAGAATCGTATTTTGTTGGCAATTTTCATCAGGAAAAAAAAAGCAAGGCTAAGAAAAAGCTCCTAGTTCTTTTTAGCACAACATACAGTGACTTAATACATATGCTATTTAACTAGAATAACAGGAAATAAACAAGCACAGGCAACGTGGAGCAGGTAGTGTCAGAAAAGCTCACCTTACACTCTTAAAATCAAACATCTACTGCTTCTCTAAAATGCTGCAATGACATAGAATAAACCAAAACCACTCCATGTATTTGTCTGACAAAAGGATTCCAATGTTCTTTAGTGGAGAGGAAATAAAGTCTTTACATGGGATGGAATTAGCACATCTGCTCCTATCTCCCCCCTGGCCCTGAGGACCCAGCATGAGTAGCACAGAAACATCGCAGAGAGCAGGATCTGACGTGGCTGCAGCCAAAATATTGACCTCAGTGTGTGGAACGAGGTCAAGATCAAGGAGCCACAGCTGTCAGCTTCATTCCAGACCTTCAGGCAATGCCTGCAGTTCTCATTTGTCCAACAAACTCCCACCCAAGATGTACCTATGGTCCTAGTTTCAAGTGCCATGACACTGCCTACAGGATTTTTTCCCCATGATTTCAGTAAAATGAGAGGGGAAATTCCAGTAAAATTCCTTCAATGACAGAAACCAAAACAAACTGAAAGAAAACCCCAAAGCTAACACTTTACTGTAGCAAATACATACGAAACGACTACTCATCACCCATGAAGCAACTTAGCAAAGGTGACTGGTGACATGCAATAATTTTCCAGAAATCTTTTTGTCAACTTCAGTTACCCAAGGAACAATGCTCTCATTCTATGTACATTTTAAAAGTTTTGGAAAATTTAATGAAGATAATTAATACTCTCCTGCATATTACCAGCCTGTAATTTTAAAGAAGAGCAGTACTTTCTTTTTTCCATATAGTCTCAGGCAATAAGTCTAAACAAAGAACTGTAAATATATTTCAGTACTCTTTCAATCATATATTCAAAAGAATGACAAAGGAATTCTGTACTGGGAAAAAATGTACCTTTATCACAATCATAAGCTTTTGCTCCAAAGTCCAGCCATAAAGACAGCATCCTTGGCATTGACTGATAGATGAACTGGTTTCCATACTGCAGAGACCTGTGATTGCATGTTTAAATCAAAGGATGTTCATGGTATATATTAGAAGCATTACAGATTTTACATTCTTAATTGCTTCATATTCCATTCTGAACTTCAGAAATTTATCTCAGCATTTTAATGCATCTGCAACAATCAAAGCTTACAAATATAGAATGTTTTGGGGTTTTTTTAATCAAAACTGCAGATGAAATAATTAGCTGTCTGACAAAAGACCAACAACTGCTTAGTTAGCAATAAAATCAGTTAGGGATGAAAACAGAAAGGAAGCATTCAGTATTTCATTCTGCAATACTGCACGAAACTTTGAGTCAGTCTGAACTGGTGAAAGACAACATGTCTATAATTTTTTTTCCAGTATAATAGTTATCTCTCTGTACAAAATAGGCAAAGTTCCTCTAAGGTCTCACCTCCCAAAATGATGAACTATGTATCTAATCAGATCTCCCTGTTTTTCCATCTTGTTGTCAGTTACCATCGGCATTAATTTATCATAGTATTTTGCAAGATAAAAATGTCCATCTTCCCATTCTGGCAAGAAAATTGTAACATCCTGCAACAAAATCAAAATGAGATAATTACTTTTGAGAAGATGCTAAACTTACAAAAAAAAAAGATTTCTCAGGAAATAAGAATCTTGTATTAGTTACCTTTGTGCAAAGTATGTGCAAAAAGAGCATTAAGTGTTAACTATGTAACTCCAGAAATTGTGATTTTGTGCCCAGGTAACTGCCTCTGCAGACTGGAAGTCTCTGATATATTAGTTAGATTTTTCTCTAGATGGCTGTTACAGAAGTACTTTATTTAGAAGACAGCAGTAAGTATTAATGGTACCAAATGCCAAAATTTGAATAGGAGACATGCTGCTTTTAAGCAAGCATAAAGATCTGCATCTACTGCTGGTTTTGTAGGCAATATTAATCAATGCCAAAAGCTATTTCACAGGCATCACAAGATAAAGCATGCAGTGCTGTATTGGTCAAGAAAAACACACCAGTTGTCTCTTTTCCTAGAGCTTCAGGGGCTGGAAGCATTAAAAGCACAGTTCTAAGTCACTACCAGAGAGAGAAGTAACACTGAAGAGTAGTGCCATGTGTCATCAAGTCAACTCTGTGTATTTGGAGTAGCCCACACTTCAGTGAGGAATTCTAATTGGTGCATGCATGAGAAAAGAGCCATGCTCTGTGACTTGGTTTTCATTCTGAAAGAATTATATTAGGTATTTGTAGCTGCCACTGATGGGAACTGCAGACTTCTGTGCACTGATGTGTTACCTTACAGCTAATTAAGAGAGTTAAATCTTTACAAGAACTACTTCCCTCCTATACACTGATACACCATTTAATTTCATTGATGCTATACTTGGTTGACATCAACAGGAGCAGAACGATAACTTACCTAAGGGACACATTATTAATCAAAACTACTGCCTTGTTAACACTTGAATACCAAATTACCTTATATTTTTTCATAACTGCATTGCTTTCAAAGTTAGCAGTTTCTTCCATAAATCTGCCCACTAGCAGCATTGCCCGGCCGTGGATGAGCTGATTTTTCCTGTTGCAGGGTGCTTTGTTTTCAGGGAAGCATAACTCAACCCCCTTCTGGAGAACAATGAGTGCTTCATGAACCTCACCCTAA